CATGCGCGCGCCTCCAGCCCCCGCGCATGCTCCGTCAGCTCCCTCTGCTGCCTTAGGTGCCCTATCAAGGTCCTAAGTCCGTTATACCCAGTGTTAGTGGTGACTTCGGGTCCTTCGTTGATTGAACCAAAAATAATGAGCTGCAGGAAGGGAAGTGAAGATTGCCTCTGATGAGGAGTTAGGAGTAACTGGCACGGTGACAACCGGTGTGTTTCCAGTTTGTCACCAAAGAGCCACCGCCGGGAGCTTGCTTAGTCCATGGTGCAAACACCCAAGTGCGGGCTGGAAGTCGCTGTACGACGTTCGGACTAACAATACACCTAAAATGTAAGCGCACCTGAAATTGTGCAGTTTGTTTTTAATTAACTTACTGTGACCAGGAAATGTTCATGGAGGTGTGAAGCTGAGAAACAGACAACCAAACCTCTAAAGGAACTTAGAGCCTCAGAACCGGTGCCCAACTAACGTGTTGCATCTCCAACAAAATGAATGCCTGCCCAGGGAATGGATATTGCCCATCTGGCGATGGAAGTTCTAGATCTTGTTTTTACAGACCTAAAGAAGAATGGCACAAAGGCCATGACCAAAGGAAAAGGACATCCCCTCTCCACCTATAACACCGCCCTCTTCATAACTCACACGTCACTAGGCATCTGGAAAAGGCTAGCCTCTCATTAGAAGCCATGAGGCGAGGAAACACCCAGGAGGAACACGTAGGAGAATGCCTCGACTTTGTTTCCCCTAGTATGGGTAGGCATTGCAATGGAGGTGCCTTGTCAATGTGCTGAACAGACTGATGTGGATAACTCCCTAGTAATGTGGTGCCCCCTGCCCTATCAGCTGCCGAAGACTGGCATCATCCACATAAGCAGTTCCTCTCTAAGGCTTCAAAGGGAAGCCCCACCTGTGTTTTCACCCCAGAACAATGCAAACTGAAGACTAGATCCTCAACTCTTGCCTAAATTTCAAGCTTATTTGACTTTCTTGTGGATTTCAAACTTGCCAGTTCCCACAACTGAATGAAAAAAATGAAGACATGACGGCTTCTATCTGTGGTTGAGGATAAGGTTTATTTTAGATGTGAGGGGAAAGAACAGCCAGAAGTGTCTGGAAGTGTCCAGACTGAACCAGGCCTGTTGGGAGCTGTACCACCCCCAGGTTCTGAATTTCTGGTAAACAACTTGTAATGCTTGCAGCTGTTCAGAGCACTAGGCCCTGAGGAGTTCCTGATGGCAGGGGAGTGGTTTCTGGTGGGTTTGGCTGGGGCGTGGCTATCAGTTAAGGATCCCTATATAAGCTGCCCCTGGACACAAGAAGGGGGGCATTCTTGGGGAATTCAAGGATGACCTGTGTCTTTGTCTGTGAGTCTTTGTGTGTTTTAACCTCCAACCCCTTGCCCAGTTTACGAACTGGATGGTAGTGCACAGAGCACAGATGGGCGTGGTGCACTACACAGGCCTGCAGACAGGGCCATGGTGGGAACGGGGCTGGGTGCCGGGGTGGGGTGGTAGCTAAGAGAGGAGCTGCAGACCAAGAGGCCGTGAGCAGGCCAGAAGACCAAACGGCCAAAGTAGCCACAACATCTGATTCTATAGGCGTCAGAGAAGCTACAGGAAAGGAAGGGAAGCTCAGGAGCTGGAGAGATTTAGGGTAGGGGGAGGGTATGTGAGTGAGGCTAACTGGACTGGGTAGTTGTGATGCTGAGAACAGGCTCCCCTGTTACTTACCATTTGTCCCTAATTTGAGACCTAACAACAACTCCATGGCCTAATTCCAGGAATTAAATGTCATGAAACTTACTTCTCCACCCTATCATTTGTGTTCCTCTGGAAAACACTGACTAACTCACAAGTGATAAAAGTTAAGAAGAATATATTGACAATTTTCTAAGTCATATACCACTGAGAAGGGGCAGGCAGGATAGAGCCGAGAAGGAAAGATCTTTCCGCAGATTCCCAGTGTCTTTGTGTTGCTGATATGTGCTGATCTTCACACCCTTGCGAGGTGTTTCATGGGTTTGCTTCTAAAAATGAAAAAATGTTTATGCATTGATTCAATTAAATATCTATGGAACAATTGTCTTGTGACCAGAATGTGACATTTCTACTTTAATAAGCATACTTTTCAATAATATGAAGATATAAATGAATTTTAATCATGGTCAACTTGTATGCAAATTCTTGTCAATCAGGCTAAAAAAAAATTCTAAGGCCAGTTATTAGTCATTTGTATTTTCACCTTTTCTGCATTTTTAAAAGCTTAGGATGTAAACATTCTTCTTATACCATACTACACAAAGGCCAAACATTGGTTAGATTTGGCTCGACAGTAATTGTTCTCTGACGTCTCAGACAGACTCAGAAAAATAACCAAATAATTGAAGACTGTTCTCCTAGACCCTCTGCTATGGATAATGAGGCTCTCCAAACTGGATAATTTATTAACTATATAATTTTATTTCTCACATTTCTAGAGTGTGACAAAACCAAAATTGAAGTGTTGGCATTCAGTGTCCTGTAAGGACCCATTCCCATTCCCCATTTTTACACAGAAGAAGAGATATCTCTTGTGATAAGTGACAGAAAGGTTTTGTAAAAGTCCTAAAATATTTCCACTCAAACCTTTTAAGTCATGTTAATTCATGAAGACAGAGCTCTCATGCCAGTCTCTATTCTGGAGATTAAGTTTTCGTGCATGCATAAAAGGTGGGGCATTCACCATAATCACAAAATGAAGAATCAGTATTACAAAGCTGTCTTCAAATTACTAAAGATTCAGATACATAAGTAAGTTAGATTGCATATTGAACTACTCCTCCCCATTAGTAGATATACATTGTATATGGTACTGTTAAACATGTTAATAAAAGATATAACGAACTTTGAGCATGTTCCTACTAGCACTTCCGTACTCTCCCCTTTCTTCCTCTGTGGCAGTACGATATTCTGAAAGTATAATTTAAATTCTAAGAGACTGGAACTTTTGCTGGCCCTCACAGCCAGAGTTAATACATCTTGAACTCTCTTAAAATTGCTAGCATACTGAATACTCAAACTATTTGTTACACCTTCCTTTAAGAGAACAATGTAAAAACTAACCTTACGTGCCTTGTCTTTCCCATGTAATCAACTTTTACAACCTAAGCTAATGTATAGCCATAATCTTACTCCTCCGTGCCCCTGACCCAGAATAATACATGCACATCGATTGCTGAAAGCAGCAAATACAGAAACTGAAACATCTCTTTACCAGAAAGCATGAAAGCCATCATTTATGGATATTGCTTGATAAACAATGATGTTTGCTTTCTGAGTCATTTGAGATCTATTGAAACCAGCGAGTTAATCCCCTGTAAAACTCTGTTAAAGGTTTCTGTAACGTACCCTGTTCCTCCCTCATGTGTTGCTTCCTATACTGTTCAATAAAAGCAGAGCGAAAACTCTTGTTAGGGACAGACACATAGCACATACACACACACACACACACACACACACACACACAAGACAGACACAAAAGGGCAAACAGTGTCTCAAGGGGACCTAAAGGTAGACACATAGCACATACACACACACACACACACACACACACACACACACACACAAGACAGACACAAAAGAGCAAACAGTGTCTCAAGGGGACCTAAAGGTAGACCCAGAGTCAGGCACACACAACGAACAGAGAACATGAGATTGAGAATTCAAATCTGGACTCACTCTTGGTTAAATGACTCCAAGGGGAAGTGATCTCATATCTTTCCTTAATGTGACATTGATGCATTGGTGACTCAGAGTTATTCAGTAATGAATATAATCCATGCATCCCTCTTCCTATTACTGCCTTTGTTCCATAAACAATTTGTTTCTACTCGCATGTCATGTGTACATAGATGACTTTATAAACATATTTGCAATCTAGGGACCACAAATGAGAGAAGGCATACAATATGTGTCTGAGTCTGACTTAATACCCACTTTAATGTACCTTCCTACAGATGACATGTTCCTTTATATATTAGATCGTTTTAT